AACAAAATGTCTCATTTAAGAAATGATTTCAAAATTTTAAATTGTTCAAATTTTGAATGCATTTTCAATTCATCCAAATTTGAATTCAGGTCGATTTTTTTAAGGAGCTGTTGAAAAAATTAATATAGAATTGTTTAAAAATTTTGTTGATTTTTGAAAAAAAAAAGCTGAAATATAATTTTAGATTATTGAAAACAAAAATTATATATGATTGAACAGAGATAATGACATATTAAGTAGAGATGTTTAAATTAGAACTTGAAGGAAATTTTTCATTTAAAGAATGATTTTTAAAAAGGATTTTTTTTTTAAAAAAAAAAATGTAATTATAGATAAAGTTGGACTTACATGTATCGCATAGAAATTGGATTCTACTTTACAAAAAAAATCAGATGCAGTTAACAATCCCACTATTTTGGGATTCAAACCATTAATGTTGTCGATTTTATAGTTGTAATTTTTTGAAAACATCTTTTCGGTAATAAACTATAAAAAAAATTACCATTAATGGAAAGTAATTAGTGATGAGCTATTTGACCATATAGTTGACTTGCCATTTTTGAAAAATGGTAAATATGTTTATATATATATAGATATAGACTTGTTACTTTTAGAAAGTAATTAATGCTAAAACATTTTGACTAAAGTTTGACTTGCCATTTTTAAGAAAATGGTAATTTTATATATATATATATAGATTTACTATTACAGTTCAATAGAAGACTTAATGGTTCACCATAATTTACAACCAAAAATATTATAAATATTGTCATGGCAGTTCAACTAATGCCTCATTAGTTTCTCAATTTGATATTGTATATACTTCATCCTTAAAATAGCTTTACTTATATGCTTTAAATCCATGAATGATGAACTTACTAATTACTATTATAGATTATTTTATACTAAATACACTAAATACATTTTGTTATAAATATATTTATATTTCATTGTATGAATAACTTCAGACTAATTTCTTATTATAAATCAATATTAAATAATAAACATAAGTTCATTTTTTATATGCAATATTCCATTATAAACTTATTAAAACTTTAAAAATAAATATTTTTATATTTATACATACAATATGAATGTCAAATGGAAGATTGTAAAATAAAATCTAACTCAATATAATATATGAAGATAATAAATAAAAATATTATTAAGCTTTTAAAGTGAAATTACATTAATACTAAATAATAAAAAAGGAAAAGAAAAAAATAATAGACAGCAGTATAAAAACTAAATAGAAAAAAAAAATCATAGTTAGAAAATGTTCTCATCTATGCGTTTCAAGAATTATTTTAAATTATATATATATATATATACATAAATACATGCATACATATTAATTTACAAATAATTATTTTTAGAGTCTTTAATATATAATCATATCCGTTAATTTATATTTTCAAATAAAATAAAATGTTTAAAATAGGTGGAAACTAAATAATTAATTATAAATGTTTTATAAATTTAATGTCAAAATTGATATCACATCGCTAAAAATACTTGATTGATATTTTTTACAAAGTTTATTTGCAGATCACTTATGAATGGTAAAGAAAAATTTGCCCAAGAAAACTTAAAAACAATGTCTAAAAAAAAATCTTATTTAGTAAGTAATATTTCTTTGGCGGAAATATTTCTAATAAATACAAATCTTTTATGTGTGTGTGTTGGTTGACATGATGAATGACAAAATATGATGTGCATGATAGTTATCCCCCTCCCCCTATATATTAATCCAGAACGAGCTGAGCCTACATAGCTGCTTTTGGTGTTTCAGAATCTTATGTGGCAAAATTACATGTTTCGTTATTAGGCTTGGGTACATTTTAATTTAATTCTAAATCAAAAATAATTAGGTTCGAATTACATAAATATGTTGATTATTTATGGTCATGTTACATGTATTAATTGCATTTTAATATCATTCCTTATTATAACTATTGAATTGTATAAATATTTTAAAAGTTAATAACTTTTGTATTTTTTTATCAATTT